CCCCTGTATTTGGGGACAAATAATAATTTGCTGCAGCCCCACAATTAGCCTGAAAGCCCTTCATAGGCTTGTTTACACATGGAGTAGTGAATGGTAAACACTGAGGGACAAGGTGGTGTAGGTGGCTACATGCCTGCCAGTTGACTAATTCAGGTGAGTGGAATTATCACATTAAGGTCAAAGTAGAAACCTACCTATAAGATATTAATATTATATTGTTTCCGATTAAGCATTTTTTTGAAGTATGAAACCATGTAGATGGTTTTTGTGTGTCTTTTCTCTTGTTGAAATTGCGTTTCTTGAGTTCAGGTCAAGGTAGCTATATTCTTCTACTGACTTCTATAGTCTTTCATCCTATATTCCTCTGTTCCATACACTTGAACTTGACTGAACTGACTGTAAAATGTGTGCATATATTTTTGTTTTATACAGGGGTGAGAGGATTTGTCAGGTCTCTGAGAGTGGTTTTGAACATCCAGCTTGGTCTAAAGACATTGAGTTAATTAATTCCCTTGGTGTTGGCTACTTTTTCAGCCCTTCAATGCTTCTTCCTAACGGCTTACTTGTTCTGTTCGAGAACCGGACGCGGAGCAAGAAAGCAGAAATAAAAGCGATTCCAGACCCATCCTTTCTCTCCATCCTCTCTTCTAAATCAGCCGCTCCAGAGACCATAACATACCTTCTGCTCGTGATACAAAATATAATTATGCTAGTTTTATTTTATTTTTCAATTATACTCCAAAAACGTTATTGTTCCTCTCCAAATACTTTATTGTTCTATTATGATAATTTCCATGGTTGAGAAGTGCAAGAGGAGCACGTACATGTACTCTGTGCCAGCCCCTTCCTTCCGTTTACGCAAATCACACGTCACTAGAATTCAAGTTCATTGCCTTACATACAAGTATAGCCTTACACCAACACATGTAAAGTAAGATCTAATGTAACGCAATGCACGCATCATGAAACATATCATTGTTTCATTGTGGAGAAGGGTAATACATATTTTATATATAGTTATATAGTGAGTGATGGATGTACTGAATAGTGGTCCTCTGTAGCTCAATTGGAAGAGCATGGCGCTTGTAACGCCAGGGTAGTGGGTTCGATCCCCGGGACCACCCATTCGTAAAAATGTATGCACACATGACTGTAAGTCGCTTTGAATAAAAGCGTCTGCTAAATGGCTTATTATTAATAGCTAAACAATTCTATTATTAATAACCAATAATGATCAAAACTGAAGTTCTAGGGAAACAGGGGTATAATAATAATAATAATTAGTCATTTAGCAGACGCTCTTATCCAGAGCGACTTACAGGAGCAATTAGGGTTAAGTGCCTTGCTCAAGGGCACATCGACAGATTTTTCACCTAGTCGGTTCGGGGATTAGAACCAGCGACCTTTCGGTTACTGGCACAACGCTCTTAACCACTAAGCTACCTGCCGCCGTAATCCAGGGTATGACCTGTACTATAGCATTGCTATTGTTTTAGTATGATCCTGGGCCTTGTACATTACATTTTATAACTATAACCTATTCTACAATGCACCATTATAATGCAGGTTTAGCACGTAATCCAGGAATCATCAAGATCTTGCTCTTGCTGGGCACATAGGAAATCAGGAGAATGCTTAAAAAATGCTTTTAAAACATTCAAGTTCCTCTGGACCTCTGTGATTCTACCAAGGCTTTATAGTATTAATCTGAAAAATAGAGACTTATAACAACAGCCAGACAACGGAGGTTATACCTAATAATTATTGTGTTAAATCTAAAATGGATTCTCAGGCAGGATTAAGTATTGACTAATGCAAAGCCTGTTTACTGCAGGTAATTACTATGAACTATTCTAGTATAATCTCATTGAGATCAATGTGTCTCTGTTGAATTCACAAAATTCATCTCCATACTATGAGTTTATTTATCAGGCGGCATCCCTGAAGCATGTACATCTATAAATCATAACACCTCTTAAAAGGTGCATTACTTGCGATATTGTAACTGCTTGTTTTAACTTAAATATATACCTCAAATGTGTAAATAATTTAAGGGAAAGGCAGTAATATCAGTAATTTAAGGGAAAGGGGGTAATATCACTTGATGAAGCAAAGAATTGCAGACAAATAAATAATGAATGGTCCATTATTTTTATTCACTACCACACTGACTGATAACATTACTCTTCCTGCTAATTGTCAAGAAACCCCCATTAAAAATGTTAAAAGAGAAAATCAATGTTTACTCCTCAAATGAATCAGGGAATGTCATGTTGCTGTATGTCTGAGGAGAGATAGATGGACTGTGTGTTCCTATCCCACCTGTCTGGAAAAGATAGGCCTATTAATGGCAACAGAATGGATGCCAACAATAAAATGCTTTATTAACGTTTTCACCTTTATTTAGTTACGTGACAATGCCCGAGAAGCCGGTGTTTGGAGGATATATTGGCACGGGTGTTGTTAGGCCCGAGTCGAAGTCGAGGGCCAACAAACTGTGTCAATATATCCTCCAAACACTGGCTTCTCGGGCATTGTCACTTAACTAAACAAAGGTGCAAACGTTAATAAAGCATTTATACAATGGGTTACCAACATATTCAAATAATGATTCAAAAGGTTATTTTCTATTAATTTATTCATACTATTTCATCCTTCCACAAGATATAGTCCCGACACAAATCTAGGGTTGCTACCCAAGCCGGCTGGTCGTTCGTTCTATCGGTTCCGTTGCCAGAGACGCGACCCAGTCGTTCAGTCTTTTTGTTCTGTATCTCTTGACGCGACCCAGTCTTTCGATCTAAATGTTGTATTGCCATACTGGCTGGAAACGTTATTATCCCTTGCTTGCTAGCTAGCCAACTATGGCTAACTTACAGTCACGTCAAACAGTGCAGGCAGAAAACAACAAAGTAGCTGCATTTGCATTTGTTTATGCTGTTTTCTAGTGACATTTATTTGGATACATCCATAACAATGAGCTAATAAGCCACGATTTCAGCTGGCATAGGAAATGTGCTCTCTCGTCAGGACACTGTGATTCAGAGGAGCTAGCCAACAACACAGCTAACATAATCATTTCAAACTGAAGCTGGAAAGACTGCAAACGATCTGCACTTCGTTTAGTTTTAACTACATTCTATTGACATTTCTTTGTATATATCCATGAAAATAATGCCAGCTGATTCATGATTTCGACTGGCTGAGAAACGCTGCCTGCCTGTCTGTCTCCTCCCCACACGTTCATTACTATGGGACATGTGGAGATCGAATTTGAATATTGAAACAACGTTGCAAATGTCGGAGACAGACCGCAAGGTTTATACAAATCTCTGCTGTTGAAAACTAAATGTTAGTCTAAAAGAAATGTCAGATAATGTCTAGATGCCTTTTATAGTGGAGATCAAGTTTATAAATTGCCTGGCTGGGCTGTTGAGACAGTGGATTGTGCAGTCAGATGGAACAGAGTAAATAGGCATTTTATCGTCACAGATTTAGCCGGTGTCTATTCCACAAGTTACCACGGGCTAAATCTGTGATGTTAAAATGCCTATTTACTCTGTTCCAGTTTTGACCAATCAGCATTCAGGATTACACCCACCCGTTGTATAATCATAAATAAACAATGCAAACAACAAAGTGGATGTGCGTTTGATGAAGGTTACTATGGAGTGTCACGGTGATATGGTGGCCTCCATACCCTGTGGGTGTATAGCGGACTTAAAACAATAAAATAACGTCACAAAATGTAGCACAGTCAAACACAAGTCACTTATGAATTAATTGATGAAGTCCTGTTTTGCATTTATTTATTCGTGATGAGGAGGGTTCTCAGACAGGAGCCTAGTATTAACACACAATGCCTCTCCGCACTGCTCTCTCACCCTGTCCCTGGCCTTCAATTTGTTACAGGGTGAACTTAAGTGTCAATACTTACATTTCTTAGCAATATTAACACATGTATAATATGTACTTTTGTTTTGATATAATTACATAGCCTATTTCGAGTATTGTTAAGTTGGTTGTTAAGACTATACAAAAGTTGTAGTTAAGCTTCGAGCTGTTTTCACATTTTCCTTTCTCCATTATCTTTGTTTGTCTATATGCTGCCATCTGCTGGTATATTTCAGACACCACCACATAACACATTTATTGCTGTCACACTGAGGACATGATAATGGATATCGAGTTTCCATCTGGAGAGAGTAGTAACTAATCAATGATTGAAAACGACATCAACAACTGTCTGATTTAGAAAAGGTACATTAGGCCAGGACTACGGTCCTTATTGGACATGCCCCAGCAGGTCCAGACAGTGGTAGGACTACGGTCCTTATTGGACATGCCCCAGCAGGTCCAGACAGTGGTTAACTGAACACACACTGTGCTGTTTGACCAAAAGGCACACTATATTGTATCTGTTTGAGAAAAGAGTGTGACTACAGTTTAGTAAATTAATCATCCACAGCTAGCCTGCATTATGCACTCCTTTTGAAGTGAGACCCCACCTGCTGTCATAGCCCTTTTACTGCAGTTTCAAAACTGCAATCTGCAGTCTACTGGCTAAGTCTCTCTTCAGTCTTTGGCTGTAGATTGCTCCTGCTCGTGTCATCGGAAAAACAGCACCTATGCAAAACATAACCAACCATACGAGCATGAAAAGGCAATAGTTTCTGGCACACCGATTTGCCTATCATCATAAATAAGTTCCTCTTTATGCAACCACTCTCAACTCAGTGACATTTTGGGAATGGTATAGGGCTAACTGACCAAATTATGTTGAACATACAGTAGGCTTTGTTATACGATGACAGAATAACGTTCAGACAGGTCATATATATTATTATCTAAAATAAACAAAAACGAGTTGTTTCACAACAAATGTACAGAGTTCGCCTACTCAGGAAAGAAGTATTGTCGCCTACTCAGGAAAGACGCGTCATGGCCATCTTTCCCACCTTCCGTTGATTAGAGTTGCACAATTTTTTTCCTTAATTCAGAGGGGCAGGATCCAAAAGCGGTAGATCGAGATTGAAAATGGAAGGCCCAGCGACACCCGCTGTTATAACGTCTACCAGCAGCAGCGCGGAAAACTTTTACACCTCTACTCTGGCTTACGACAGGCACTTTTTTCTTACTGCTTCGGGGCTCCTCGTTTTCGCAGAAATAGTAAGTAGTCAAGTTTCAAGTTTCAAGCTGTAGGCTACGGGATACGCATGGTATACGTCGTCCAAAGAAGTGCTAACTTGCAGGTTCCTTCTCGACAATGCAACAACAATAAGACATAATAAAATATAAGAATACGAACATAAATTAAATGGCTCAGTAGAACAGAATAAACATTTGATAGTAGCATAATTATTATTCAAGAAGGCACATTTTATAGTTCAATATTTACACGTGTATTGGAGAAGGGGGGGGGGGGGGTCCGTGTATAAACTGAGCAGTATAATAAGAGTCTGGTAGCAGCAGTTGTGATGTGTGTGTGTGTGTGTGTGTGTGTGTCTGTGTTGGTGTGTGCATGAGTGAGTGCATATGTGCTAAGGTGAGGAGAATCAGAGCAGGTGGTCAGTCCAGTTCAATTGTTCAGCAGTCTGATGGCCCAAATCTAACTGCCTGTAGCTCAGGACCTGAAGCAAGGATATGCATATTCTTGATACCATTTGAAAGGAAACACTTTGAAGTGTCTGGAAATGTGAAATTAATGTAGGAGAATATAACACATTAGATCTGGTAAAAGATAATACAAACATAAAAACATGCGTTATCTATTTTATTTTTTCATCATCTTTGAAATGCAAGAGAAAGGCCACAATATAATATTGCAGTTTAGGCGCAATTTAGATTCTGGCCACTTGATGGCAGCAGTGTGTGTGCAAAGTTTCAGATTTATCCAGTGAAGCATTGCAATACTGGACTATTTTGTATGAAGTCTGCCCAAATGTGCCGAATTGGTCAATTGACACATTTTCAAGTACATAACTATAGAAAACATACAAAAATGATGGTAATAGAAAATGTAAGTTTACACACTCCCAGGAATGTCATACATGATGGATCATTAGCTTATATATTAACTTTCATGCATCTAGATGGCCGGGTGGGGTGGGTGCCGTCTTCACCACCCGCTGGAGGGCCTTGCGGTCGTAGACAGAGCAATTCCCGTACCAGGCCGTGATGCAACCGGTCAGGACGTTCTTGATGGTGTAGGGCTAGTATTTGGAGAGGACCCGGGGCGGCATGCTGTTGTGCCCTCTTGACAAGAGTGGTGGTGTTGTTGGTCCATGACACGTCCTCAGTGATGTGGATGCTGAGGAACTTAAAACTAGTGACTCTCTCTGCTGCAGTCCGGTTGATGTGGATCGGGGCATGTTCCCACCTCTGCTTCCTGAAGTTAAAAATCAACTCCTTTGTTTTGCTGACTTTGAGGGAGAGGTTGTTGTCATGACACCACAATGCCAGTTTACTTACCTCCTCCCTATAGGCTGACTCGTTGTTGTTGGTTATCAGGCCTACAACCGTGTTGTCGTCAGCAAAGTTGATGAGGGAGTTGGTGTTGTGCAAAGCCACGCAGTTGTGGGTGAACAGGGAGTACAGCAGAGGACGGAGGACTCACCCCTGGGGGGCCCCAGAGTAAGAGTCAGTGTGGAGGAGGTGTTGTTGCCAATACTCACAGCCTGTGGTCTGCCCCTCAGGAAGTCCAGGATCCAGTTGCAGAGGGTGATGTCCTAACTGCGACACAAACATATTTGTGTCCAAGTTTGATATAATAATTGATTGAAATTACAATGGCAGTGGCTTTCACCATCTTTCTCACAATAGCTGCCATCAGAATTCATGAAGCGATCAATACTGCTTTGTTGATTAAACAAATTAAACACATTATGATGATCAGACATTTTGTATTGGTCATACCTTGTATCACATGGCTAATTGTACCCTTATCATAGGGGCACATTAGTTCTGATAAAGGGAAGAGTTTGCCATTTGCTGATTTCCAGTACTTTTATACAGATTTGCATACTGTTCAACCTGTATATTTTATGTGCATTTTATACACATTTTGCATAGGCTGCTTGGCCTGTATGACAGTTTTTCACAGACGGTGACGTGACATCGTATTGAACACTGCACTGAAATGAAGGTTCAATTATCTCAAAATGTTCAAGGAAATATAACTGGAGAAAATGAACATAATGTCAACCTACTTCCTGTAATATAGGCTACTTCCTGTAATATAGACTACTTTCTGTAATATAGGCTTTTTCCTGTAAAATAGGCTACTTCCTGTAATATAGGCTACTTTCTGTAATATGGACTACTTCCTGTAATATAGGCTACTTCCTGTAATATAGGCTACTTCCTGTAATATAGTCTAGTAATATAGGCGACTTTCTGTAATATAGACTACTTTCTGTAATTTAGACTACTTTCTGTAACAGACTACTTTCTGTTTAGACAGACAATGGGTCTCAGTACAGTGTTTTATTTTCTCTGGAAAGGGAAGTTGTTTAAAAACAAGGTCAGTTTCATTGTCCCTTTTCCTTCCAGCATCAGGGGAGAATGTGACCAAAAGTCTCCTCTTCCACGTAGGCTAGACAGTCTTTTTTCCTGTGATACGAAGCAACCAATGAAACATTATTTTCTTTTAATAACAGGAAGGGAGGTTTGGAGTGCAACAGAGGACAAAACTTCCCATTATTTACAGTAGCACGCATTATAACAAACTGCATCTATAGATTTATCATAATCAATGTGTTACGACATTCTTTCAGAATGCCGTCAGATCAGATAGGTGTCAGTAAGCTGTGAGGTTAGTTTCTGTTCCAGAAATACAAACTATGAAAAATCACTTGGCAATTATGTTTTATATAGCTGTTGTACTGTTTTAGATGAGAGCTTGCAGGTAAACAGATCACTCTACACTTCAATGGATCCTTTGCAAATGCCAATAAACTGTTATTTTATTTGACTTAGGCTATATTATTTCCTTTCATTGTAATCTCTTTCTACAGTATGCCATAAAGAAAAGCAAAGCAAATGCATTTAAATACACGATAAAGTAGACACCACCAGAGCACAGCCATCACTGACTATGTGTACGTCCCAAATGGCACCCTATTCCCTATATAGTGCACTACTTTTTACCAGAGCCCTATGAGCCCTGTTCAAAAGTAGTGCACAATAAAGGGAATAGGGTGCCATTTGGAATGCTGGCTATGTGCTTCCCTGTCCCCTCAGGTGTTTGGTCTGCTGGTATGGATGCTGATAGCGGGGACAGACTACTTCCGTGTGTCTGCCTTTGGGTGGGTCATGTTTGTGGCCATCTTGTACTGGGTCCTGACAGTCATCTTCCTCATCATCTACCTGACCATGGCTTACAACAGGATCCCTCAGGTCCCCTGGACAACTGTGGTACGACACATACTACGACACATAATACAACAGCACATTATCTGACCAACTTGAAACTTGACTGATTGGGGTTGTTTATTATATAGCTAGTGATTGAATAATTGTGGACTATTTATGTAACTCAAAAGCAATGGAGTGAACTTCCTGGATGGTTTTGGGGAAGAGAGGATTTTTGTGTGCTCCTGACCATGTCTTTATGAATGTGATCAAATGAAGCCATTCTATAATGTGTACTAGCCTACAGTATCTGAACCAGCCAGCCAGGAATCCTGTTGTTGTCATTCTACAGGACCTGTTCTTCAACAGTAGTGCTACAGTGATGTACAGTTGAAGTCGGAAGTTTACATACAGGTTGGAGTCATTAAAACTCGTTTTTCAACCACAAATGTCTTGTCAACAAACTATAGTTTTGGCAAGTCGGTTAGGACATCTACTTTGTGCATGACACAAGTAATTTTTCCAACAATTGTTGACAGACAAAAAAAAATCACTTATAATTCACTGTATCGAAATTCCAGTGGGTCAGAAGTCTACATACACTAAGTTGACTGTGCCTTCAAACAGCTTGGAAAATTCCAGAAAATGATGTCATGGCTTTAGAAGCTTCTGATAGGCTAATTGACATCATTTGAGTAAATTGGAGGTGTACCTGTGGATGTATTTCAAGGCCTACCTTCAACCTCAGTGCCTCTTTGCTTGACATCATGGGAAAATCTAAAGAAATCAGCCAAGACCTCAGAAAAAAATATGTAGACCTCCACAAGTCTGGTTCATCCTTGGGAGCAATTTCCAAACGCCTGAAGGTACCACGTTCATCTGTACAAACAATAGTATGCAAGTATAAACACCATGGGTGTCACGGATTCTGCCGAGGCTGCCCTTCCTCCTTGCTCGGGCAGGCTTCGGCGTTCGTCGTCACCGGAGTACTAGCTGCTGCCGATCTATGTTATATGTTCTACCTGTTGTTGTCTGATTGTTTCACACCTGTTTCCCATCTTGTAATTACTCCGTCCCTATTTAACCCTGTGGCTCCCATTGTGCTCTGTATGTTTATTGTTTTGTGTGTCGTTGGTGAGCGGGTTTATTCCTCCCTGCGTGGAGGTTTACTTGTTTCTTTACGTGTTCAGTAAAGTTACGTTTTCATTTAGTTCTGTGTCCTGCGCCTGACTTCGTCTACCGCATTACACTAACACCGTGACAATGGGACCATGCAGCCGTCATACCGCGTTCTGTCTCCTAGAGATTAACGTACTTTGGTGCGAAAATTGTAAATCAATCCCAGAACAACAGCAAAGGACCTTGTGAAGATGCTGGAGGAAACAGGTACAAAAGTATCTATATCAACAGTAAATCGAGTCCTATATCCACATAACCTGAAATGCCGCTCAGCAAGGAAGAAGCCACTGCTCCAAAACCGCCATAAAAAAGCCAGACTATGGTTTTGCAACTGCACATGTGGACAAAGATCATACTTTTTGGAGAAATGTCCTCTGGTCTGATGAAACAAAAATATAACTGTTTGGCCATAATGACCATCGTTATGTTTGGAGGAAAATGGGTGAAGCTTGCAAGCCGAAGAACACCATCCCAACCGTGAAGCACGGGGTGGCAGCATCATGCTGTGGGGGTGCTTTGTTGCACGGGGGACTGGTGCACTTCACAAAGTAGATGACATCATGAGGAAGGAAAATTATGTGGATATATTGAAGCAACATCTCAAGACATCAGTCAGGAAGTTAAAGCTTGGTCGCAAATGGGTCTTCCAAATGGACAATGACCCCAAGCATACTTCCAAAGTTGTGGCAAAATGGCTTAAGGACAACAAAGTCAAGGTATTGGAGAGGCCATCACAAAACCCTGACCTCAATCCTATAGAACATTTGTGGGCAGAACTGAAAAAGCGTGTGCGAGCAAGGAGGCCTACAAACCTGACTCAGTTACACCAGCTCTGTCAGGAGGAATGAGCCAAAATTCACCCAACTTATTGTGGGAAGCTTGTGGAAGACTACCCAAAATGTTTGACCCAAGTTAATCAATTTTAAAGGCAATGCTACCAAATACTAATTGAGTGTATGTAACTTCTGACCCACTGGGAATGTGATGAAAGAAATAAAAGCTGAAATAAATCATTATTTCTACTATTATTCTGACATTTCACATTCTGAAAATAAAGTGGTGATCCTAACTGACCTAAGACAGGGAATTTGTACTAGGATTAAATGTCAGGAATTGTGAAAAACTAAGTTTAAATGTATTTGGCTAAGGTGTATGTAAACTTCCGACTTCAACTGTATGTGGTGTTCTACAGGGTCTGTTCTTCAACAGTAGTGCTACAGTGATGTATGTGGTGTTCTACAGGGTCTGTTCTTCAACAGTAGTGCTACAGTGATGTATGTGGTGGCAGCAGCAGTGGATGCAGCCTCAATCAGCCATGCTGTTAAAGGGCGTCATAACTACAACTGCTGGGTAGCATCCACGGTAAGAAAACCACCTCAGACCACCCAGACATACATTTAAATCACGCCAACTGTGAAAATATACCACAAATATGACTGAGTATTTATGATTAAAGCGATATTAAAATATACAATATTAAAATGCAAGTATATGCCTACAAGTCAGATAAGAGAGGTATGATGCCACTGTGTACCATCCCAATGATATATATTTGGTCCATTTAAGCCTACTCAACTCACACCTACTATTGTACTGAATTTCAATGTTTTCATCTGTCTGTTTTTCAGTTCTTTGCCTTCCTGGTCACGCTCTGCTATGCAGGAAGTACATATTTAAGTTTTCAATCGTGGCGATCGAGGGATGAGGAACAATAACCAATCACAAAGGACAGCTAAAATATATCCGTTATGGTACACATGAAGGATCTTGAAAAGTACAGATGGTTAAGTGCAACAACCACTCCTTCCCTTTGGAATATATTTCTCTTTTATTTTATTTCTGTTCTATTTCTGTTATTTTGGAGTTGTGGTGTGTTTCATCTGTTGGAATGACAGAGCCTGAACCTCAGGGATGTTTTTACTTCTTATGCACTCACATGTTTTTTTATTACATTTGGGGATGAAAATGACTGAAGCTAATAAAGTGGCTATTCTACTGTTCTGAATCTGGAGATCAAAGCTTTAACTCCAATATTAAAATGGATTGGACAGTAATGTTGTACCACACTAGATGGTGCTAAGATACAAGGCTGAGAAACAGGGCTTATGAAGGATATTACAGTGAATTATCTTTTTGATTATTCAAAAAAAGAATCATATACGAATAATATATTTTACTAATAGGAGTCAACGACACAACAAAAATATAAATGCAACATGCAACAATTTCAAAGAGTGAGTTACAGTTCATATAAGGAAATCAGTCAATTGAAATAAAATCATTAGGGCCTAATCTATGGATTTCACATGACTGGGAATACACATATGCAGATATGCAAAAGGAAGATACGGGTGTGGATCAGAAAACCAGTCAGTATCTGGTGTGACCACCATTTGCCTCATTCGCATAGAGTTGATTGTGGCCTGTGGAATGTTGTCCCACTCCTCTTCAATGGCTGTGCGAAGTTGCTGGATATTGACGGGAACTGGAACACGCTGTCTTACACGTCGGTCCAGATCTTCCCAAACATGCTCAATGGGTGACATGTCTGGTGAGTATACAGGCACTCTGTTCACAACGTTGACATCAGCAAACTGCTCGCCCACACGACGCCATCTCGCTGTCTGCCATCTCGCAGTCTGCCATCTGCCAGGTACAGGTGAAACTGGGATTCATCCGTGAAGAGCACACTTCTCCAGCGTGCCAGTGGCCATCAAAGGTGTGCATTTGCCCACTGAAGTCATTAAGGACGCCGAACATCAGTCAGGTCAAGACCCTGGTGAGGACGACAAGCACGCAAATGAGCTTCCCTGAGATGGTTTCTGACAGTTTGTGCAGAAATTATTTGGTTGTGCAAAGTTTCATCAGCTGTCAGGGTGGCTGGTATCAGACGATCCCGCAGGTGAAGAAGCCGGATGTGGCGCGTACTCCTGAGTGGCGCAGTGGTCTAAGGCACTGCATCGCAGTGCTAACTGTGCCACTAGAGATCCTGGTTCGAATCCAGGCTCTGTCGCAGCCGGCCGCGACCGGGAGACTCATGGGCGGCGCACAATTGGCCCAGCGTCGTCCAGGGTAGGGGAGGGAATGGCCGGCAGGGATGTAGCTCAGTTGATAGAGCATGGCGTTTGCAACGCCAGGGTTGTGGGTTCGTTTCCCACGGGGGGCCAGTATAAAAAAATAAAAAATAAAAAAATTATATATATATATGTATTCACTAACTGTAAGTCGCTCTGGATAAGAGCGTCTGCTAAATGACTAAAATGTAAATGTAAAAAATGAGGTACTGGGCTGGCGTGGTTACATGTGGTCTGCGGTTATGAGGCCTGTTGGACATACTGCCAAATTCTCTAAAATGACTTTGGAGGCAGCTTATGGTAGATAAATTAACATGAACTTCTCTGGCAACAGCACTGGTGGACATTCCTACAGTCAGCATGCCAATTGCATGCTCCCTCAAAACTTGTGGCATTGTGTTGTGTGACAAAACTGCACATTTTAGTGTGGCCTTTTATTGTCCCCAGCACAAGGTGCACCTCTGTAATGATCATGCTGCTTAATCAGCTTCTTGATATGCCACACCTGTCAGGTGGATGGATTAGCTTGGCAAAGGAGAAATGCTCACTAACAGGGATGTAAACAAATTTGTGCACAACATATTAAATAAATAAGCTTTTTGTGTGTATGGAACATGTCTGGGATCTTTTTTTCAGCTCATGAAACATGGGACCAACACTTTACCTGTTGCATTTATATTTTTGTTCAGTGTAGATAGAATGAAAACTTGTCAAAAACACTTACTGTACATCATTTGAAATGCTGCCCAGGTTTTGCTTTGTGATGCCTTGAGGGTCCAATACAGGGGGATACATTTTTGCAGATTATTTAGTGAGTCTGGCCTGAATATGCAGTAGTCAAGCAAACACTTTAGGCTCAATGATTAAGGTATAATGTAGCGCTGTTCATGGTTCAACAACTGTATATATATAAATAAATAAATGCACACATCATTTCTTAAAATGTGCAGCCATCCCATTGCAGTATCATCCACATTACACTAAATGCAAATAGAAAAAAATGCATATAATATTTGCCCCATTTAAATCGGTTGTTCCTCAAATTAGCTCGGATTTACTGGGACTAGGACAATGTTTCAAGGAAACACAGCTGAACATTGAACAGCTTCCCAAATGCCAGACTGTAGCTTTAACAAAACACTATACAGCTTGTCATGCAATGCCAGGCTAGAAGGAGAGCATACTTCATAGACAAAATGTTTGATGTTATGAATTGGTATGACATATATACATTCCAGACATTATGGGTGTGTTGGATAGTAACGCTTGGAATTGCCAGGGACATCACGATACGATATTATACATTTACATTTAAGTCATTTAGCAGACGCTCTTATCCAGAGCGACTTACAAATTGGTGATCACAATACTTAGGTGCTGATATGAAATGTATTACGATTCTCACGATTCTACATGTATTTCGATTCTATGCTGTGATTTTATTGTGATTCGATGTTCCAAACATGTTGCTCACTATATGTCTGTGGCAGAGAGACGAGAGAACATGAGAAAAGTAATGGAAATAAAACTGCTGAAAACAAAATGTGCTTCCTATTTAAAATGAAAATGGAGAACAGTCTATGAAGGAAAAATAGAGTTTTGGAGCAGGGATAGCCAACTAGCGCAATAATAGTAGTGTGATATTGCCAATGTGATGCGATACGATATTATTGAAAATAATATCCCGATATGTAACTATCGATTTCTTCCCCCCTTCATCACTATTGGATAGGCGTTTTAACGGTCTTGCAGTTATACATTTAGTTGCTTATTGACACCATTGAGGTAGAGTTTGTTAAGATGACAGATTAGTTTATTGTAGCTTCTGGTTACTACTTTATGTATTTTCTTATCAAGAGGAATACAATGAAATATAATGATTAAAGATGTGCTTTTTATTAAAATGTCCGTAAGTAGATGTAGCAGAAAAGGAACACCCAAAAAAAATACAGTGTGTATAAAATAGTGAAGGTGAAGTACCATGAGTGGAATTGTCTCCCGATAATATTTTATTGTTCAATTAATCAAAGATATATTTAATCCTTTAAATCCCATATGATTATTTCATTTATTGTGATAAATACAACCTCAAATGATGAGTAACAACGCATGTGGTCCGTGACCCACTCACTCAAACGGGATCACCTCACTTGAAGCAGTACAAAATTACTCCCAAAATATTATAAATATTCAAATTCATTCAGTTTAAAATCGCATGAAGCACCCATCAGATAGTGATATTAAAACAGTCCTGTCAGCGTCTATGTCAAACATCCGTCCAAAACATATAGGGTCAGTTTCCTGGACCCAGATTAAGTTTACTCCTGGACTAAAAAGCATGTTGAATGGAGAATCTCCATTGAAAGTAACTAGTCCAGGACTAGGCTTAATCTGTATCCGGGAAACCATCCCAAAGAGCAAGCCATACTTTTTTTTTTTTCGATTAAGAGGAGGTACTGTTTCCAGCCTCTTCCATGTACACCAATCCCCAGTGGGCTCCGATGGAAGTGATCCCGGCACCGTTGAAGCGACCGCTGAGCAGCCTCAGCTCATTGCCCATGTTGGCTGGGTAGAAGTTGAAGGAGACTTGGTTAGGCAGGCCGGCCACCAGAGTGCGCCCCGTGTTGGTGGTGAACACCAGGTAGCAGATGTAGTCTCCTGGGTTGTACTTCCCAGACACCTCGACGATGGCCTCATCCTTAAACAGCTCCATCTCCTGCTTTTCCCCCACTTCGCGACCGAATACAGGAGACCAGGTGTTGCTGTATCTCAGCTGGAACCTAAAACAGAGGAAGCTTTTCACGTTGGTTGTGTTTTGATAAGGCATATTCAGACGGAGACAGCAGGTAGCGTCAGAGAATATCAAGGACTGACATTTTCAATTGTACTCTGGGTTAGATATGATAACACTATTGTTTTGTCATGTACTGAATATGTAATAAACACAATAAATAAATACAGAAAGAAAGAAAGAAAGAAAGAAAGAAAGAGTGTGGCTGTTGGGTAGTGTAGTTGGACTGAGACGGTGGTGTCTGTTCCTGGGTCAGGGTCTGCTCACCCGTTGATGTAGGCGTTGTTGTTGTAGTAGTAGTAGTAGTAGTTGTTGTTGTTCTCCCACACTCTGACCGCTGTGATGCGTCCCTCACCGGAGGAGGCAAATGGGGTGCCAGTGCCCAGACCCACCGCAGAGGAATACGAGTACGGTTCTTTGATGGCTAAAATAATATGGGCAATATGTTTACTATATTTACTATATTAATAATACATATTTATATATACATAATTTAAATTTTACTAACATATTTCTGAAAGATCTTTATATTATGAATAAAGTGTAGATTAATTAACTAAAGTACATTCTGCAATGCTTTAATACATCAGCTTTTGTCTCAAAGAAGAACTCCTAAGTGTAACTGAAAAAGACAAGTTGGTGTAAGCACAAAAGCTATTATTGAATAATTATAATTCAGAATTGTATTTGTATTACTCACGCATTGCCAAGCAGCTGGCCAAGAAGACTGTGACAAACAGGATTGAGAACATTCTGCAAAAGGGAGACATCAATACTTAAGACCTTTCATTTCAGTCAATTTCACTTTAAATGGTAAAACTTGAAATAATTTTGTTAATAATGTTTTTCATAGTAGTTCACAAAAACAACTAAGGCATTTTACCTGTCAGGTCAACCAGTGTTTCCTAGAAAGGAAAATAAAATAACTTTTTGAATTGTGAAATGTGACTTAACAAACAAATCATTCTTGAATGTGAAATGTTATAAAACAGCTTTAAAAAGTAGAACCTACTCTTGTTTACTACAATCACTCTTGCAGTGCTAAGCTACTGTCAAATAAAAATGATGTCAGATAAATTAAATGTACATTTACATGCAATAGGGCCAAAGTGTTTGTGCCCATGTACCAAGAGATGATGAGTATTAACTTCATAGCATTTCCCTCACCAGTATCATGCATTAAATACAAGTGCACATTTTATATTTAGCTAGTTGTGTACATACCCACAGTGATATCTTGAGATTTGTTTGAAAACCTGTGAAAGGTTTGTATCTCTCTGTCTCTGCCAGATCCTTCTAGTCTACTGCTTCCTCTTAGAACTGCATTTATACACGATGAACATTCCATCAGCTCTAGATGGAAGGAACATGCTAAAGAACACCTTTAGTCAGTCACTCACTATAGAGAAGTCAGACATTGTTTTCTAATTGGTCAAGGCTACTTTGGAGGGAGTGTCAAGGAAATATTATAAGGAAATAAATGTATTCAGAGGATGTTCTTTCTTTTGAATTGTAACAAATGAATGATCTGAAATAGTGATAAAAATATACAATCTAACAACCAAATGATTAAAAGAATATACCAAAATCATTTGAATGTGTACGAAAATCGCTCAAAATCAGTCTCCCAATCTTCAGTTGTTTTATTACCCCAAGAGGAACTTCTTCCCTTCAAACATTAACACGCTGAAAAAGACGTGGATCGGGTCATTAATAGGGTAGTTAGTTCATTGGCTCAAATACCTATTTTATTGTAGAAGATGTGTTTCAGTACATGTATTTCAATTTAATTCTAGAGGGCAAGATGAGATTCTAAATTTTTTGTCTATATTATTGTCCTACGTTTTCTGCATTCTGTTACAATTCTCGCATGTCAAAAATGTTATAAATTGATTTGAATTTTAATGAGGGAAATAAGTATTTGACCCCCTCTCAATCAGAAAGATTTCTGGCTCCCAGGTGTCTTTTATACAGGTAACGAGCTGAGATTAGGAGCACACTCTTAAAGGGAGTGCTCCTAATCTCAGCTTGTTACCTGTATAAAAAGACACCTGTCCACAGAAGCAATCAATCAATCAGATTCCAAACTCTCCACCATGGCCAAGACCAAAGAGCTCTCCAAGGATGTCAGGGACAAGATTGTAGACCTACACAAGGCTGGAATGGGCTACAAGACCATCGCCAAGCAGCTTGGTGAGAAGGTGACAACAGTTGGTGCGATTATTCGCAAATGGAAGAAACATAAAATAACTGTCAATCTCCCTCGGCCTGGGGCTCCATGCAAGATCTCACCTCGAAAAGTTGCAATGATCATGAGAACGGTGAGGAATCAGCCCAGAACTACACGGGAGGATCTTGTCAATGATCTCAAGGCAGCTGGGACCATAGTCACCGAGAAAACAATTGGTAACAATTGGTCCTCCTCCCCCTCCCCCCCTCCTCCCTCTCTGTGGATGACTTCGTCAACCATTTTGAAAAGAAGGTTGACGACATCCGATCCTCGTTTGTTAAGTCAAATGACACTGCTGGTCCCGCTCACACTGCCCTACCCTATGCTTTCACTTCTTTCTCCCCTCTCTCTCCAGATAAAATCTTGCGACTTGTGACGGCCGGCCGCCCAACAACCTGCCCGCTTGACCCTATCCCCTCCTCTCTTCTCCAGACCATCTCCGGTGACCTTCTTCCTTACCTCACCTCGCTCATCAACTCATCCTTGACCGCTGGCTATGTCCCTTCCGTCTTCAAGAGAGCGAGAGTTGCACCCCTTCTCAAAAAACCAACACTCGATCCCTCTGATGTCAACAACTACAGACCAGTATCCCTTCTTTCTTTTCTCTCCAAAACTCTTGAGCGTGCCGTCTTTAGCCAACTCTCTTGCTATCTCTCTCAGAATGACCTTCTTGATCCAAACCAGTCAGGTTTCAAGACTGGTCATTCAACTGAGACTGCTCTTCTCTGTGTCACGGAGGCTCTCCGCACTACTAAAGCTAACTCTCTCTCCTCTGCTCTTGTCCTTCTAGACCTGTCTGCTGCCTTTGATACTGTGAACCATCAGATCCTCCTCTCCACCCTCTCCGAGCTGGGCATCTCCGGCGCGGCTCACTCTTGGATTGCGTCCTACCTGACCGGTCGCTCCTACCAAGTGGCGTGGCGAGAATCTGTCTCCGCACCACATGCTCTCACCACTGGTGTCCCCCAGGGTGGAACAAGCTCCCTCACGACGCCAGGACAGCGGAGTCACTCACCACCTTCCGGAGACACTTGAAACCCCACCTCTTTAAGGAATACCTGGGATAGGATAAAGTAATCCTTCTACACCCCCTTACCCCACCCCCCCCACCCCCCCCCCCCAAAATAAATAAAATAAATAAATACATATTGTAAAGTGGTTATCCCACTGGCTATAAGGTGAATGCACCAATTTGTAAGTCGCTCTGGATAAAAGCGTCTGCTAAATGACGTAAATGTAAATGTTACACACTACTCCGTGAAGGACTGAAATCCTGCAGCGCCGCAAGGTCCCCCTGCTCAAGAAAGCACATATACAGGGCCGTCTGAAGTTTGCCAATGAACATCTGAATGATTCAGAGGAGAACTGGGTGAAAGTGTTGTGGTCAGATGAGACCAAAATCGAGCTCTTTGGCATAATAACATGCCATTTAGCAGACACTTTTATCCAAAGCGACTTACAGTCATGTGTGCATACATTTTTACGTATGGGTGGTCCCGTGGATCGAGCCCACTACCCTGGCGTTACAAGCGCCATGCTCTACCAATTGAGCTACAGAGGACCAAAATTCTCTGCATCAACTCAACTCGCCGTGTTTGGAGGAGGAGGAATGCTGCCTATGACCCCAAGAACACCATCCCCACCGTCAAACATGGAGGTGGAAACATTATGCTTTGGGGGTGTTTTTCTGCTAAGGGGACAGGACAACTTCACCGCATCAAAGGGACGATGGACGGGGCCATGTACCGTCAAATCTTGGGTGAGAACCTTCTTCCCTCAGCCAGGGCATTGAAAATGGGTCGTGATGGGTATTCCAGCATGACAATGACCCAAAACACACGGCCAAGGCAACAAAGGAGTGGCTCAAGAAGAAGCACATTAAGGTCCTGGAGTGGCCTAGCCAGTCTCCAGACCTTAATCCCATAGAAAATCTGGATTTTGTTGTTGTTATTCTGTCTCTCACTGTTCACATAAACATACCATTCAAATTATAGACTGATCATGTCTTTGTCAGTGGACAAACGTACAAAATCAGCAGGGGATCAAATACTTTTTTCCTTCACTGTACAGTTGAAGTCGGAAGTTTACATACACCTTAGCCAAATACATTTAAACTCAGTTTTTCACAATTCCTGACATTTAATCCTAGTAAAAATTCCCTCTCTTAGGTCAGTTATGATCAGCACTTTACTTTAAGAATGTGAAATGTCAGAATAATAGTAGAGATAATGATTTATTTCAGCTTTTATTTATTTCATCACATTCCCAGTGGGTCAGAAGTTTACATACACTCAATTAGTATTTGGTAGCATTGCCTTTAAATTGTTTAACTTGGGTCAAACGTTTCGGGTAGCCTTCCACAAGCTTCCCACAATAAATTGGGTGAATTTTGGCTCATTCCTCCTGACAGAGCTGGTGTAACTGAGTCAGGTTTGTAGGCCTCCTTGCTCGCACACACTTTTTCAGTTCTGTCCACACATTTTCTATAGGATTGAGGTCAGGGCTTTGTGATGGCCACTCCAATACCTTGACTTTGTTGTCCTTAAGCCATTTTGCCACAACTTTGGAAGTATGCTTGGGGTCACTGTCCATTTGGAAGACCCATTTGCGACCAAGCTTTAACTTCCTAACTGATGTCTTGAGATGTTGCTTCAATATATCCACATATTTTCCTTCCTCATGACGCCATCTATTTTGTGAAGTGCACCAGTCCCTCCTGCAGCAAAGCACCCCCACAGCATGATGCTGCCACCCCTGTGCTTCACGGTTGGGATGGTGTTCTTCGGCTTGCAAGTTTCCCCCCTTTTTCTTCCAAACATAACGATGGTCATTATGGCCAAACAGTTCTATTTTTGTTTCATCAGACCAGAGGACATTTCTCCAAAAAGTACGATCTTTGTCCCCATGTGCAGTTGCAAACCGTAGTCTGGCTTTTTTATGGCGGTTTTGGAGCAGTGGCTTCTTCCTTGCTGAGCGGCCTTTCAGGTTATATCGATATAGGACTTGTTTTACTGTAGATATAGATACTTTTGTACCTGTTTCCTCCAGCATCTTCACAAGGACCTTTATTGTTGTTCTGGGATTGATTTGCACTTTTTGCACCAAAGTACATTCATCTCTAGGAGACAGAACGCGTCTCCGTCCTGAACGGTATGACAGCTGCGTGGTCCCATTTATTTATTTTATTTTATTTCACCTTTATTTAACCAGGTAAGCCAGTTGAGAACAAGTTCTCATTTACAACTGCGACCTGGCCTAGATAAAGCAAAGCAGTGCGATAAAAACAACAACATAGAGTTACATATGGGGTAAAACAAAACATAAAGTCAAAAATACAACAGAAAATATATATATACAGTGTGTGCAAATGTAGCAAGATATGGAGGTAAGGCAATAAATAGGCCATAGTGCAAAATAATTACAATTAGTATTAACACTGGAATGATAGATGTGCAAGAGATGATGTGCAAATAGAGATACTGGGGTGCAAATGAGCAAAATAAATAACAATATGGGGATGAGGTAGTTGGGTGGGCTAATTTCAGATGGGCTGTGTACAGGTGCAGTGATCGGTAAGGTGCTCTGACAACTGATGCTAAAGTTAGTGAGGGAGATAAGAGTCTCCAGCTTCAGAGATTTTTGCAAATCGTTCCAGTCATTGGCAGCAGAGAACTGGAAGGAATGGCGACCAAAGGAGGTGTTGGCTATGGGGATGACCAGTGAGATATACCTGCTGGAGCGCATACTACGGGTGGGTGTTGCTATGGTGACCAATGAGCTAAGATAAGGCGGGGATTTGCCTAGCAGTGATTTATAGATGGCCTGGAGCCAGTGGGTTTGGCGACAAATATGTAGTGAGGACCAGCCAACAAGAGCGTACAGGTCACAGTGGTGGGTAGTATATGGGGCTTTGGTGACAGAACGGATGGCACTGTGATAGACTACATCCAATTTGCTGAGTAGAGTGTTGGAGGCTATTTTGTAAATGACATCGCCGAAGTCAAGGATCGGTAGGATAGTCAGTTTTACGAGGGCATGTTTGGCAGCATGAGTGAAGGAGGCTTTGTTGCAAAATAGGAAGCCGATTCTAGATTTAACTTTTGATTGGAGATGCTTAATGTGAGTCTGGAAGGAGAGTTTACAGTCTAACCAGGCTACTGAAGGAGTGTTGTATAGCATTGAAGCTCG